GTTACATGGGTGACTAGACATAGTTAGTTCCGCTACCTGGGGGACCAGACATAGTTAGTGCCGTTACCTGGGGGACCAGACATACTTAGTGCCGTTACATGGGGGACCAGACATACTTAGTGCCGTTACCTGGGGGACTAGACATAGTTAGTGCCGTTACCTGGGGGACCAGACATAGCTAGTGCCAAGGAATGGTTAGAATATATGGATGGACAACGTGTCCGGTACAGTAGGACCGACGTTTCGGTGTGGGTTCTGACAGATATTTCAAGCAACCAATATGAGGAAGTGTTTTCACAATCATTGATTGGATTAGGGTTTCAATATAGTGGAGAAGCAAGTTAACTACACACAAATCTATCGCCAACGGTCCAAGATAATTCGCGATTGCGACTCATCATATTGTGAGAGAGTGAGTTTAGTTTTACGCCGCCCTCGGCAATATTCCAGCTATATGGCGGCGGTCTGTAAATAATCGAGTCTGGACCAGACAAGCCAGTGATCAACAGCATGAGCATCGATCTGCGCAATTGGGAACCAATGACATGTGTCAACCAAGTCAGCGAGCCTGACCACCGATCCCGTTAGTCGTCTCTTACGACAAGCATGGGTTACTGAAGATTCATTCTAACCCGGGTCTTCACGGGTCATAATATTGTGCCTTGGGCAGAGATGCTGTATGGATATGGCGAGGAATTAGTTTAAATGATACTGATATATAGTCGACAATTGTGTTGATGATTGGTGTCATCTCCCATTGGCCCATCTCCCAGTGACTGGCTGGACAATCGTGAGATCCCCGGAAACACTCCACTCTCCATTAAGTAACACACTTGACACAAGAGAGATGCTGGTCACATTACACATTCTACACTGTCAACAACACGCATCCTACCCAGATACCAACCTTAGCACGTATCTGGTCCCATATTGGTGAAGCTTGACAATAACCCGTGTATTGTAGAAAAGACCATCCCAACACACACAACACACACAACACGCACAAAATATAATACAAATTCAACATACACACAAGACACACAATACACAGACACACAACACAGCAAAAGACACTCACACCATGCACACAGCACGTGCTGCACACACACACACACACACACAACAAACGCACAAACACACAAACAAACAAACAAACACACACATAAACACACACACACACACACACACACACAAACACACACAAACGCACACCTCCTCAAACTATGTGTATTTAACTTTTAAGATAAGTTTGCATGTTTGATGGTATTTGATAGATATAGCAGTATAGGGGTATTTTGAATGGCAATCAGATAAATGTACACTGCAGCTTCCGTTTCCTGTATGGTACAATACTATCAGTCACACAGAAACTACACATTAAGGTATGTAGCACTTCGGCAAGGTACTGTCACGTGTTGATTCCCAGGTTGAAGCTGACAAGTTAACCGGGAATCAGGCCGGAAACAACTAAGCGTGAAACCAACACACAACTAAGAATTGTGCTGTGATTAAAACCTGCATCCTAGAATTAACTAATTTCACAATTCAGAACAAATTGTTACATTGCAGTATATATTAGAGGTAATATAATGCAATAGCAGTAAGTATATATATATGATGATAATATTCACCCCTCAGCAACAGTAAATCAACTTGAAATTAAGGACTAGGCAGAGAGTGACCAGGGGTACTTCCCTGAATACAGGCAGGTATTGTCTAAGGTAGGCAAAGCAGATTAGTTAATGTGGAACCATTTCGACACTACCGGTCCCAGAACCACCAACCACGTAGAGGGATGGCACTCCAGCTTCAACAAGCGTGGCGCAAGTCATCCCAACCTCTACATTGACCGAAATTATTCTTATGCAACTGAATGCTGGAGGTCGTGTCCCTCCTAAGAAGAAGAAATATAGAGCTCTTGACAACGCACTTGAATCAGCCAAACGCCAGCTTGTGAATGGACATATCAGTCGAGAGCAGTACCACGTTACTGTGTCTCATTATGTGGGACTGTGAATGGACATATCAGTCGAGAGCAGTACCACGTTACTGTGTCTCATTATGTGGTACTGTGAATAGACATATCGGTCGAGAGCAGTACCACGAAACTGTGTCTCATTATGTGGGACTGTGAATGGACATATCAGTCGAGAGCAGTACCACGTTACTGTGTCTCATTATGTGGGACTGTGACTGATTATGATGTGTTATTCTAAATGTTATTGTTATCTGTGCAAAAGTCGTTACTTCTCCTTTTTCTCCTGTTTTTCATAATATAATGTAACGATTATTGAATTATGTCAGTTGCTCTGCAAGAATAAAATGCCATATATTTGTCCATAATCGATCAGTCAGTGGATGATATTATGTCTATCGTAATATTGTTGGTCAGAATGCATGTTGTTTTCACATCTACATATTTCTTTTTTCATTTTCTTCAGTGATACATGTACCACCCCTTGTAAATTGTACATGGATATTTGATAGTTCCCCCATAGTTGAAACAACAACGGATTAGTTCAGCGGCCGTAACATGCCGGCATTCCGGAGTAAACCATCACCTTACAGTTTCCACTACACTCAATTAGAATCACATGCTCCCTGAGCGAGTACCGTGTGTAAACATCTGAAGAGTTAGAGACATGTGACAGTTGTGATTGGATGAAGTAATGTAAGATTTTTATGTTTTTTAACATCCACCCAGTAATTAAAGCTGACCACTGATCTATTGCTGTCATTTTTATCAACATGACTTATGCTTATGGTTCCACTACACTAAATCAGTATCGCTTGCTCACTGAGCCGGTCCGTATGTAAACAAGTCAAGAGAGACAGAGACATGTGACAGCTGTGATTGGGTGAAATAGTGTAAGATGTTTGTTTTTTAAAAGCACATCCAACCAGTAATTAAAACTGACCACAATTTTAAGTATTTAGTGCTGTCATTTTTATCACCATCACTTATGCTTATTGTGTGTACAGATAGTTTCCAGTAGGTGACATTTGGTGCGGAACTGGGGTTGATGTGTTCCGCTTCCTGTGCTCGCAAAACGAGCCGGACAAGTTGGCCAGATATTGTGTTTTAAGGTAGTTTAAAGGCCAGAGTGTACCCATGTGTACATGGAATGGCTGTTGATAGCCTGTCTATTTTAAAAAAATGATAAGGTTACTATAGAAGTCTATGGGAAAACATTTGGTGGTGTGTAACCTAATGTGTGTACAGATATTTCCCAGTAGGTGACATTTGGTGCGGAACTGGGGTTGATGTGTTCAGTTTCCTGTGCTCGGAATATTGGCAGGATAAGTTAGCCAGAATTTGTGTTTTTACTGTAGTTTCAAGGCCAGACTGTACCCATGTGTACATGGAATGGCTGTTGACAGCCTGGTTGATTTCTAAAACATAAAGCGTTACTAAACCTACACTATGCTGGTCTTCTTGTGGTCTGAGATGTAATGTGGGATTTATCTCCCCTTATACACCTTAACAAGATCTACAGATCTTTCTACTGTGTTCTCAGCGTCACTGGAGATGCCTATCGGGTTATAGCACAGTCTTCTACTCTGTCTAAATATAGCTTAAGTCTATACAGCACCACTGCCAATCACTGTACATCACATATAGAGTTTATTACAGCTGGCACATTCCTGTCAACAAGTAACTCTGACAGTTGTATGCTTCTCTCGAGGGTAATACGGTCTAATGTATGCCTTTTTGTAGCAATGTCAACCGAGCCAGTAGTTTCCAACGTATTTATGTTACCGCCATGTTGAATGTACAACATATCATTTTATTTTATTTTGAAGATGGATAAGCTCGCTACCGACGAAATGACATGTAAACAAAATGGCGTCAGCCTCTCCACTGGATTTTTAAAATCAGTGAATCATATTCTGACAAGCTTAAAACCTCTATGAAATGGTTAATTATTGTTAAGATGAGTGTGCAAACGATTCAATGTTTTAAACTAGTATAAACAAAGCAATGAACGTCGGTAAAATAAATGTGTACATAATAAACTCAGAAACAGCTCATCGAACGGTTTTCGAACTCCATGCACTGCATGCGTCATATTATGACGTCATACGATTGTTAGCGATACAGCTTCTCTTCGGGGAGTTTGGCGGTTACCGTGGCAGCGGGTAATATATTTTCCAGCTGTCACCCTCCTGGGAGCTCGAGGGGTGACAGGGAAACTTGCTAAAGCGTCATTGACCAATGAAATTAAATTATTTTACACGGAGGTGAGATAAATACCAATTCCAACTTAAAAACTGATTTCTGATTTCAATGTATATCTTTGGCGTTTATGATGCGCAATCGCAGGAGCGTCGTGCAACATGTTTATATGTTTAAATTTTAAACATGTTTCAAACACAGAGTTTGATATGTAGCGTGTTTCTATGGACAAATGTGACGTTGCATCTTTACGTTATAATGAGCGATTGACGTCATAGTTGTGACATGTGCTGCAGAACAATTCCAGACTTTTCTTATCTTGAGGAGTGACCAGTTGATGTACGGTAACCACGTGACTGTTTTGCATGCTTTCATTCGGTTATTTGTTTCAGACAGACTGAAAACCTGCGTGAGATAATTCAGAGTTTCCTTTCGTTTAAAGACTGTTGTCGAATATTGCGCAATGCAGGTCTTCAACCCCCTCAAAACACTTGATTTAACCAAATCTGCTTAAATCAACATAAAATGACGGTTCGAGGATATTGCACACATAACTATCTATACGATGTTTAGAACGATTCCATTCTTGAAGATATCGTACAGATTAACAAATACCATGTTTATGTGAACGTTACTGACAAAATTGACGACTTCCGGTATAACCGTGTTTGATTTTATACCATTCCTTGATAATTGTATTGGATATAGCATAGTGGATACTGCACTTTAAATAATAGAAGCTCACGCTGCCATAGTCAGCTGACAACGGGCGGATCAGAGACCAGGTATACCACCTGCATGAAGTAATGTCAGAGAGTCTTACCTCGTTTGAAACATGACAGTGAGGGAATGCACAACAGCAGTACAACAACGTACAGACGTACAGACGCCATCTTGCTTAATGGCGGCTCATCCAACTTAGCAATGATACCACTCTGACCACGTTTAAAGTGGCATTACCCTTTAATTGTCAATACACACTGAGACTGAACTTGATTGGAACACGGGGTGTCAATCCGTGTGTTCCCATCCTATGAAGAGTAACTTTAACATGACTGAGTGTTCTTGTGTGACTCGTCCCTCTCCTCCAGAGGAGGGTCGACATCCGGGCGCCTGAAGCATTGTACACAGGACAGATGGAGCGGGGTAACACCGCCAGAACAATCACATCGTACAATTATTAATACATACTTTGGGGTTGTCAGACAGATAGACTGGCCCTTAGTAGGTATATGTAACACATAAAGCATCGCAATTTAACATAGTGGAAATGAACTTCGCTCGGTTGTCATTAGTGTTGATTCACATCAACGACTTGGGGGGAAGTCAGTTATATTAATGATCATTGTGAAATCAAGTCCGGGGAGACAGCGTATATGAGTGTTAGTAGTTCAAGTGCGAGTGTGTCTGCGTGCGTGTGTTTGTGTTTGTGTGCTTGTGTCTGTGCTATTTGTGGTATTTGAAACGTTATCTATTCCTCTGCTCACTCCATCTAGGTTATATTCGAGCACTGTTGTGTATGGTTTGGTTTTGTACGAATCGAACCGTCTCTGAATATATCCTCAAAAATGCAAATACATACACATGAACAAAAGTATCGCAACATTCCATGTTTCTCATAGTATCAATATATTACCATTAACAGCGGCAACGCATATCTTACCAGACCTTAGTATCAATATAGATTGACTCTCAAGGAAGATTTAAATGTCAAACTGTATTTTATTCATGGAAGCAAACATTGCAAAATATGTAGTTCTGATAACTATGGTCGCATGACGTTAACAAGATCTTCAAGATTCTGGCATGCGATGCTCAAGGCATCACATGTGTATCAATAACGGAGCATAATGCTGATATCTGGGTAGCCTCCGCCAACTGCAACAACGTCATTGATCCCCTTCCACACTGACTGTATCAGACGTTGGAAGTGACGTTGAGGCATTGCCTCCATTCTTGACAGAGAGCGTGTTGCGATATATCAAGAGTTTGTACTGACGGATCTCTATGGCGTATTCTGCGACCGGTAATGTCCCAAACATGCGAAGGTAAAGCTGCATTTCTCAAATGAATGTATGGTGCGCCCGAAGTGTCAGAATAATCGTCAGCAATAGCCCAGCTATGACTGGAGAGCTGAGAAGCAAGTCAGTTGTCTGGTGTACGCCAACGTTAGCAAAGCAGCGTGTACACATTCGGGCAGTCAGTGGCAATAGCATGAACACTCACCTGCTATGTCTGTGCCTAGTGACACACATTCACAGGGTGGAAGCGCTGTCCACGCGAAATGTGGAGTTGTCCCAAAAGCAACTCCATTTCCTCGCTGGACAGTGAAAGACCAACATGTGGCGCAAGAGTTATGGTAAGTTTTCCCTCGCATTTTCATTATTTTGCAAGTATATCAGGTTTTGACATTTGGCAGAGGGGTCTATAAATTTACAGATCTTTCAATAATAGCTTGACACCCTCTCTATATATTGCAATTGTGCGTTAAGCGAGGGCACGCTCCTGAGTGTCGAAACAAGATCGCGGCAAATGACAACCTCATCAGCAGACACGTCTTTTTAAGCTGTCAATTCTTATATATGGTTATTGTAGGTCTTCATTCACAGTTAAGGCTTAAATGCATCAGTATTTTTTCAGTTATCGTCGAAAAATCAAACTGTACATTTTATATGGAGTTGCGCACATTTAGCAAACAAACTGTCCATTGCGTTGTGATTTTACTGTCCAGGAGTTGACAGTTTGCAGTTTTAACCGTCATGTCATCAAACGTTATTCTTGAAATATTTGTTGTGAAGAAGAATGTTTTGTTGTAGACCTGCCTACCTGGCGTACTTTGGCGTATTTATTACGATTTTGTATGATCAAGTACGATTGTACACCTATATTGCAGTTTGTTCGACAGGCATTTAATGTAAAGAAAACAAACCAACATGTACGATCAGAAGAACAAATGTACAAATATACATCTACCCCAGGAATAACCAAGTCCTGGGCCTCGTTTCACAAAGCTCTCGTAAGCCTAACATCTCGTAAATTTTCTCGTAGCATTCGTACTTACTATACTGTAACAATGACTTACGATAGTTGTAGCGCTACGACAGCTTTGTGAAACGGGGCCAAGGTTATTCCAAAGTATGTACATTGTTCATACTATCATTCAGATATTAGTATTGCACATTCGGGTAAAGCACATCACTAAGCATCTGAAAACCAAGGGACATCGAACCAATGTTGAATGTGCGAAATCATATAAGGGTAATGCTATTTTTGAGGGCATTATCATTTGCAGAAGCCCGAGGTCTTCCATTAACTGATAATGCCCTCAAAAATAGCATTACCGTTATTATTGCTAAAATACATGGAATTTGTGTTGAAAGGAAAAAGGAAACAATGGAGGAATTTGACTGTAAGTTTACCCAAATCAACTTCTGATGGGGTTGACTGCCCGAATGCAATTACGTCATCGAACAATTCAAGTGACATCACAACAGAAAGTGACGATATTCGACCTTGACCTTTGACAAGACCATAGCCTCCAACATGTCAAACTATGTCAGTGTTCGGTTTAAGTCCATCAACAACCTTAATAGTGCAATTGTTAAGGTTAGCACCATCAAGAAAGCCAATATTACCGCTATTTAAAGCGGGAATTCGGGTTGCTTTGACTTGTTTGACCCAGAATATCTGCCAGTCGAAAGCCAATTAATGTCGAATGAACCGTAAGCCCACGCACCCACTATGACGTCACTTGACAACAGAACTGATAGTGGCCCGTCGTTAAGGTTGAGCGGTCCAATATCATTTGCAGCGGCCCGATAGGGAAGTCACCAGTTTCAGGCAACCTCTTTCACCTGGATTGAAACTGGCAGTTACACTTAGTGACAGGCTATTGTGTTTAGCCTACTTGTGACCCCTGAAGCCTGGACAGCCGTAGATAATCAGTTTGAACAGAGATGGATATATCCCACGCCATCGGGGCCCTGGATGGCGAACACATTGCTATCACGAAGCCACCTCAAACTTGCAGTCAGTTACAAGGGTGTCTTTTCGATACCGCTCCTAGCACTGATGGATGGATGGATACAAGTTTGTGTGGATCGAGCTTGGTAGAACAGGACACATGTCAGATGCTAAGATATGTGGCGACTCGGGGCTGGTCAACGGCATGGAAGAGGAAGCCCTAGAACTTCCCACACATTGCCCTCTTACTGCAAGCCCCGATGACCACCAAGACATGCCCTTCTTCATCCTTCGCACTCAGGAACCACCTTATGAAGCCATACAGCAGAAGGATGTCCAGGAAGGAGAGGACTCTCAAGAGGGAGGAGAATCGTTGGGATCCTGGCCAATAGATTCAGGTGTCTCCTCATGACTCTAGGGCAGAAGCCCAATACTAGGTGGCAGTTTCTCTGCACAATCCAGGCACTGCAGCACAATAGGTGGGTCATGAGGATGTCATCCCAGGGGCATAGAGGACCAAGTGGAATGGCTAGATGTGGATGAACCTCCTGCACCTCGCCGCCACATCAGCTATAGAGCAAATGCGGTGGATCAGAGGAAACTCCTAAGGGCGCACTAATTCTGATTTCCAGTACCTATATGGGTGCAAGAACTCGTAGCAGATCGTGAGCGTCCGTGAAAAATACTCGTATCTACTCGCATTTACTCGTATCAACTCGTATCTGCTCGTGAGTCATTCGTGTCAGGTCGTGAGCAGTGGGGCCAGACAGAGCGTCACAGATCGTGGGAGATCGCAACACATCTCAACAGAGCGTGGTGTTTGTCTTGACCACGATTGATTTCGACCACTACGATTTCAAAGCACGATTAGATGAGATATGTTGCGCTTTGTTATGATGCAATACTATCTGATGCTATGATCACGATTGACAATAAAATTGTGTTGATCGTAGAAATTGTTTGAACCGTCCAAAATTTTTCTACGATCAACACGATTGCCACGACTGACCTCAAGATCTGATAAGATTTGAAATGATTGCCACGATTAGTCTACAATTAAGACCACGATTTCAATCGTGGCGCGAATCGCTATAGTGTGAACATAGCATTTAGGGGATCCATCACAGCAACTACCATTTCCATTGCCAAGTCTGTGGAAAAGGGTATCAACAACTGTGGAATTTCGACAGCAACTACATGGACAGTTACTTCAACGTACACATTCAACGCACTGGACAGTTTCAACACAACTCCATATAAAATGTACAGTTTGATTTGTCCACGATAACTGAAAAAAATACTGACGCATTAAAGCCTAACCTCTGAATGAAGACCTAAAATAACTATTTCTAAGCGTGTCTGCTGTTGAGGTTGTGACCTTTATCCCGTGTAAGTCAGTTTTTAAAACAAAAACAATTACGCAGGTAAGTAATATGTAATATGTAATAAGTAATATGTTCCCAGAGCGGCAAGTCGTTTACAGTATACCCTGCGACAATTATTAGTACTAGGCTTTTACACTAATCAACTCTTAATATGTCCATACAAAGATAGTCCTCATCATAAGTCCACGTTAAAACATCGGATGAACCGAGTTATTAGGCGATATGATACTGAAACACGCACAACAATATCGAAAGAAGCGTTTGTAAAATATGAATATTTCCATCGAAAACCCATGAAATCGTTGCGGCTGAGGGATGTCATATCGATACTCTTCAAACCTGCATGCGACCGTGACTTAACTGTACTTGGAAATAAATGCATTCGGTAGGTAAACAACGTGTCATTCGTGTATTGTTAATAAGATTTCTGATAAAAGTGTAATGTAATCCCTGTTGTGGGAATAGTCAGTTTATTTACGGAAAGAGTCACCTGCTGCATGGACCTCCTGTGCTGGAAGGGGTACTATCTATAGCCATTTAGTCAGAAACTCCACGAACTGTTCATCTCCGATTTCGAAATTCCAGATGCTAATTGTGGAAATACACACTGGAGTCGATGGCATTCAGTCAAGCTTTAATTCCATGATGTTTACAAAGCTATCACT